TTAATTGTTGAACAAATATCAAAACACATTTTTTCCTTTGTCTAAAATTTATCTTTTCAATTTATTGCGTATGAAATTTTCACTCATACTGAAATGAATCAGTGATCAAATAAATGAAGATATATATACTTAATACGCTTTCTTTGAGATTTTATGAAAATTACGCTCATGAATCTATAAATAAAATATTTAGTCTTATTGAATATTTGACCATGTTTTTTAAGTAATATAGATACCCACTTTTGTTGTTTAAATTTATGTAAATTCATAACTTCTGTAGGGGCATATTTTAAACATTTTCTAGTGATGTTTCGCATCCCTCTTGCTACGCCTCTGCGAGCCAAACAGGCTACAGTTGCAGGTCAGACGGCGTGATATCTGAACCTAACGATTTTATTCGTTCTTATTTTGAACTTCTTAACAGGAAACGAAGCGTCATTTAATTATTAGCTGTAAACACTCAAAATAAACAACTAGCGAGAAAATAACTAACCATAAGATTGGTAAAATTGCACTAAAATTACGTTTCTCACGATTATTTGCTTACAATTATCTTGAGGTAACTTGAAATGTTAATATATTGACAACTCGATGTGTAAAAGTATAGAAATATGGACTGTTTAGTCTTCAAGTATATATTTTTTAATTTCTCTGTTGATTGTTTTTTTTTAAATTAAGTACAAATTTTTTCTGAATTTTCATTTAAAAAAATATTTAAAATTGTTACCAATATTTGTTCAAATTTAATTTATTTCATGTATATAAAATTGGAATAAAAAACCCACTCACAATTTTTATATACTCGAATTTAACTGCATACGTATGTATGGTATTAATATTATCGGATCCTCAAAATAATGATGTATATAGTTAAATCATATTTTGATTTTTATTTTAATGATTTAGTGTAAACCATTCTGATGAATATTATAAACATTCCTATGATCTAGATAAATTTGTAATAAATTTATAAAAATTTTAAAATTTCACCGATTACTAAACCTTAAATGTTGGTCGTAACGTTATTTTTAGTTTTTTAATAATTTATTACAACTGAAACCATATGAAACTTTTTACATAAGTAAAAATAATCAACTTTATATAAAATTTATATTGAAAAACTTATCGTACAAATCATAAATTAAAACTTAACTAGATATGTCACTTAAATATTAAACGCTTCTTAAGAACGTAAAGCTTCCTGAAGCTTTCTCCTAGCCACAGCAACCCTATCTTCCTGCCTCTTGATATCATCCTCGGAAATATTAACAGCGTGTACCAGGGGCTGCTTTGGGTCCAAAAACACACCAGGATTCTTCTCGAGTGAATTCTTCGACCCGGTCTGTCCCGTCACAGGTTGTGCAGACACGTGTAGAGCTGTAGCAACGCTCTGTATAATTGTATCCTCAGTTACATTGGGTCCTACAGGTTTTAAGGCCTTCGGCAGTTCCATAGCTTCGAACTCGAAACCATCCACATCACAGGCACGTAACCCTTCCAAGCGTTTCTCCCACATGAGCTGTTTGGGCTTCTCTTGATTACCATTTTTGTAGTCTGTTTTAACTTTACTTTCCTGGGTTTTGTACACGGTGACCGGTTGTTTGAATATAGAAGCAGTCTGTCGTATTGGGGGCACAAGGGAAGCATCGTTTCTCACACCTCTACTATAGTACAAATCGACTTTACCCACTGATAGACCTGTTTTACGCAATACGTCGTCTCTTTGCCACCTCTTAGGTAGCTGGGCACATTCATATTTCGTTTTTTCTATCGTTATTCCGCTCATATTTGTTTACTTCACTGTACTTTCTGTCGGATTGTCAAAATTTCTGACAGTTTAAGAAGCAATCGATAAAAGAAACACAGTAGCGCCCACTGTCGTTCAGAGGCTGAACTCGACTAACGAGAGGTGGCCGGTATAGCTGGCACGTCCCCACTTCGGTTCTTATTCGTACTAGAAAATCAAGGGATACAAAAAAGGTAGTCTCATCTAACCTTGTGTTTAAATAACAATCGGACCAAATTAAAGTATTTTAATTTAACGATTATATGTTTAAATTTTAGTCGGTGTACAGAAATAGTGATTATACTTATTTGCCCCAGTTACAAAGCAATTATTAATAATGCTGCTGAAGTCTTGTTCGATTTTTTAAACCAGAACTTACGTAAAGTAATTGCATTCTCTATTTTGACAGAAATTGATGTTGTTTCCAGTTTTAAAATGGTTCACATTTTGCATATCTAAGATTAATTAAGTGATTTAAATTAATAGCTCAAATAAGTATATGTAGTTGTTAAGCTTTCACAACATACCATTCTAGTTTCTATAGTCTGTTGTATTTTATAATCATTTACGACAATTTTGATGAAGGTGTAATAGCTTTTAGGTATGGCATAATATGTTTTAATTTATTGTGTAAAAGTGGATAACAACTGTGTAGAATAACTTATAATTAAGAAATATGTTAGTATTTTTTCGAATATTTTAATATGAAAGCTTGATCTGCGATAATAAATAATTTTGATAATGTTTTTTAATAGATTATTGACTAGATGTTTAAAAAATTACTGACTAGTATTATATTATTTAATTCGCCCTGAATATTGTTGTCTTTATTAAGTGAAAAATAATAATATTCTATTTCTAATGTGAAACGGTATTAATACAGAATTGTTGTTGTATTTCAATTAATGCGTTCTGATAAGCACATAATTATTTTTGAACCTCTTTCAATTAATTGATTAAGATATCTATCTACCTATCCAGAATATAAGGAAGTAGTATTGTTGTGAAACATTTGTCACCGATTATTAGATATGCATACTACATATTCATATGCATTTTACCTGCGAGATTTGAATAATTAATTATTCAATATCTTAACTAGTCCAGTTTCCTAATTAATAAACTTGATTTTTATTATTTGGCATGGTTTTCCAAAGTAGATTAGCTTGGCTGCGAGATATGAAATCGAATAGGAAAGCAACTGATTTACAATGCAAATAACTGTTATTTATTGAAAGTTTGTGTAAAATAACACCGATTATTTATGGGAAAAAAGTGGATAAGGATTGTCGGTATGCCTGAACTGATTCTATTGTGTATGCAAATTATTTCGAACTAGTTTAGCGCTATGTCTAGGATGGTTCACTTAGTTTGTAGTAAAGAACTAAAGAATGCGACGATTTTTACTAGAACTTGATTTTTTTCGTGCAGAAAATAATTTCTCTCAATTTCTCCAAGATTTCATTGTCATATTGATTTGCGGTCTTGTGGTAAGAAAACTGTCAAATTTTATTAAATACTGTAACAAAAGCGAATATAAAAGTGAGAACATTTTTTTTTGTAAAAAATTAAGTTGGATACATAAATTACATTAATGTATAGCTGAGAAATAATATACAGGCTGTTTCCAGAGATAATTGTATTTACTAATGGAATTGGTATACAAATAATCAATGAGTTGTAGATATACTAGCAAAACTCAGTAAAATTTTTATCGGACATCAAAACTAAAGAAAAATAAACTAAAAAAGGAAATAACTAAAATTGCAAATTTCTCATGAAAAAAAAAGCGAAATATGCTTGGAAATTATTGATTTCAATGAAGATATTTTCAAAACTGTTGCACTTCCGCTTATACTGCTTATGCCACAAACTTTGTTATTTTATATGGAACACCCTGTATATTATTGCATTCTTGGATTCTATGTTAAATTTTAGGGTCACTTATTAAATATTCCCTATACGTAGAAGTTATAGATTTTGAGATATTAATTTTAAAGAAAAAAATTGACAGATGCAAGATTCCGCGGAAATACTAGTAACTTTTTCCATGATCGTGATCACGTGGATTTTTGGTACATGTAAAGGGCAAAGGTAACACTAAATTATGGTATGCCAACGAATTAACACATTTAATACTAGGTGTTTCATTTTTGCTGTTACATTTTAATAACTTCAAACAAACAGCCATAACTTTGTTAACTTAAATGGAACACCCTGTATTTTTTACTCTGTCGTATGCAGATTGAAATCTATTTCAATCCATATAAGCATTGTTAGGGTTGCCGTTACTACTTTTAGAGATATTTGCAATTTTCTGTTTTTTGGATTTTTTTTCTCGTATCGGACTGTTATCAAATTGGTCATGACCAGAAACACTCCAAAAACAATTAAAATAACTTGACATTTGTCAAGTTAGTTGTCAAATTGTTGTTGTGTCTGTAATAGCTTTTTCCGAAAATTTAAATAAAAATGCCTGAGGATCGTTTTAAATTGTACTAATGAGGATTGTTTTATATTCGAATTAAGTACATTTACAGTTTACAAAAGTTAAAATATACTCCAATTTTTTTACGTACTCCTGAAAACAATATTTGATGCCTGATAGGAGCACAAAATATAAACGGGTTTATTAGGTGATTAGGTAATTATTATTCTCTGATAAAATGTACGAAATCTGCATTGCGCATTTCAATATGCAGGATCGGCATGCCGACCCTAACAAACCGCCACTGTTGTGTAGAATATAAATAATAGATAAAAAGATGTAACCTGATAAAACAACACAAGAGATCAACCCAACCATCAAACCCAACACGGGCAAAACAATATTTGGTTCACCAGTTACACTCATTTTTGTCTCTTTACCTTTGCCTCCACGTTATTATATTCACGCAGATGCAGGCAAGAGAACGTCGAGATATGGGCATGCAACTGCTGCCTTCACCTTTGAAATATCAAGCACGTTGCAACATAGATCGTCTGCAATCGTAAAATATTAGTATTTACATCTGCTCCGCAGCTGGATCGGGGCCCTGGCTAACTGTCGACAACGGTTTTGCGTGCTTGCGGTCGTACAGATATTATTCTTCTGACGCCTTTGGTGTAGGAAACAGTAGGAAAAATCGCAGTAGGTCACCTCGCCGCAGGTAACGATTGTTTCAGCAGATAACGCGATCTGCAACTACGGGCGTAGTTGTTTATTTTTTTCGTTTGTTGCTCTGGTTAGCAATCAGCAAAGATATCGTCCGTCTGCTGATGATTTGTAAATTGCCCCTTGGAAGTTTCTGCCGATACAGTATCGTTGAAGAGAGAAATCCCGAGGTGGATATTAGATTAGAAATATTTATAGCAGGAATTGTTTTTCAATAATTATTTGTAAATAAAGAAGAAGATATGAAACTTTATTTAAACTTCCTATTAACAAATGGCACAAATAATAACTTTTACATTTTTTTAATTGTAAGCTAAATAACAATATCTAAAAACAAAAAATTCGAATCAATTTTTTGCTATAATTTATTTTAAAGTAATGTCTGAAAAAATTGCAAACACCCCATTTAAAACAGGTTTTTAGATGTCATGTACTGCTAGGTTTTACTAAGGACAAGCAATTTTTCGTTTTATTGGGCTTGGTGCAAATACAACTACTTCAATATCAAAATATACGAAAAGTTGTACTCAAAAGTTCAAAATAAAAAACAAACTTTCAGGTGAACATATTCTCAATGTAGGAGTATCTCAGGGTTCAATTTTAGGACCATTGTTATCTTGTATTTATATAAAAATCTTTGTAGCGGGCTAGAATAGTGTAGTTCACATAAGCAAGCAACTGCATTTATCAACAGAAATAATGTTGACGATGCTGCTGAAAACATTAATTCAGATCTTAAAATTATAGAAAATATATCGAAGTAACATTATCTGTTTTTATATACTAATTATCAGTAAAAATCAAGACCTTACAATGTGAAAGCTTTGTTTTATCTATTTTCCTATTTTGTGCTCCTGTTTATCCAACGTTTGGATATACAAATGAAAAATAATACAGACGACTCGAAACTCATGCATAAGATATATGTATATTTGAAATAAGGCATAGGGAATATCTCTCATAAACTTAATACGCATAAGATGAATAATCGATTAAAATTACAAACCATTATCTCTATCATCAATAAATTTATATAAAAACCCCTAATTACCTTTATAATAAAATTTATTTTCATTCAGATGGACATAACATTAAAACCAAGAAAGATATTATCACCATCCAACAACTGAACCATATTTTGCTGCACTATTTAAAGCAGTCTGGCAATTTCAAAGCTATGTCCACTAAATAATTTAAATAAACACTAAACAATCATTTATCTAGCGGTGTATCTTATTTAGTAGTTTTGAGATCATCTTCGAACAAGAACATTTCCTAAAACTTTAAGCCATACATTTTCTCCAAATTAAATTAATGAATTATTACTGAAATCTTATCTTGTATCAAATTATTATTCTTCGATGCAAATTATAATCAACTAAATCGTCATTATCACTAAGAGTGTCGTATAAATTTAATAATCTGTTATAATAACATCCCCTTGTTACCCATTTCGCGCGCTTATCCGAGAAGTTCAAACATAGTGCCATTTATGCCGCTACGGAAAATCAAGGTTTACATTTCATTAAAATTAACAGCTCGTTTAATGAACTATAACGAACGTTATACCACATTTTATTGGCTCGTTAACCTTTTAAACATCAGTTTCCCTTACAGTTGCGGATATAACTACTGTGTTGCTAAATAGGAATTTTTGTTTCTACGAACGCTGATTTGCACCGCCACAACGTTTTCTATACAGAAAATCCCACAAAACTCAAATGTTGCTTTCAATTAGAGCTTACTCCAAATCTACACATTTCTACCCGCAAACGTTCAGAAACGTGTATAAAAACTGTTTACAAACTTTTGTGAACAAACATTTATACAAAATACAATTACATTTGTGTTTTTTCTTTTCTATTTAGGATGAAAAACAAATGTTTTAAACACAAACATTTTCCAACAACCAACTAGTTTCCCAAGCTCGTTTCTCAT